GGGAACTGGAGAATGAAGAAACAAGCGCATATTTGTAGTATCTGCTCTAGATTACACTAAGCATGTATATTATACTAACATCAAGCATGTTTATTTAAATAAAACATTTCATCCCTCCCTCATGCTCATATTCACTCCTGTCCAATTTGGAAGGGCTTATGTCTCACATTCCAACTGTTACATCTTCTGCCTTCCTCTACACGTCCTGTAATGATAGTCAAGTCTTCTACGTCAGGTGCCATCTCTCGTACAGACTCAAAATGACAATCAGTCAGACAGAACCAGTTCTGGAATCTATGCTTGGAACAATCGACGCGCCCAGAATGCTAACAATAGTTCTGGGGCGAATCAAATAACAAATCTCAAGGATTTACTCTCCGGGATCAATCTCCGCATTAGCCTCCCGAGAGTTAAACACATTTCAGTGTGTTAGCTGTATGTAATACAGATTCACTTTAACCACACGTGATAAGATTGCCAAAGTTATCTTCACGCTTGTGATTTCAAAAACATGATAGTTCATTAAATTTCAATGGCAACAACAACATTTAGGTTTTACAACATTGAAACACATGTGCCCGAAAAACATTCATGACACTATCAAATAGGAAATAAAGCAATGTGACAGTGCCCTACGAGAATGAAGAAATGTCCGCCTAGGAGTACTACAAAGTGATGAAGACACACACTTGAGCAAAAAGACAGATCTCTATCATAAAATATAGATGTGAACCTAATTTCGATCTTACCTGGAAAAATGAAACCACGATGCCAAAAGTTCTGTCTCAAGCTTAGGTTAAGCCCAACAGATGGCATGTGCTAGACAGGATCTCATTTACCAGACCTATAGTTCACCCCTTTATAACTTTTATCAAGCTCCTCCTACATTACGCCTAAAATCATTCTCATTAAGGGATATCACAGCTCCTCCCTTGTGGGTGTATATTCACTGTCAGTCAGTGACTGTACAACAATTGTTTGAATTCCCACGCTAGGATCTCCTGGTCAATTCATCTGACAGAGCAAATAGGACAAGTCACACCTCTGGCCTACTTCACCGGTCATCACAATAAAATCCGACTTTGTCAATTCTTCTGCCAACACTTTCCGCTCACTGTGTCAATAGTGACCGTCGGACCGGCACTCCAGTTTAGGTAACCTCAGGGGGAATTAAACACAATTAGCCGGAGTTAGCTGCTCCTAAAAGTCTGGCTAGGAGATAAAATTTCTGACACCAACAGATGGTGTGCAAATCTCCAGTCAGTAAGTCTGCTTGGTCAGTCTTATCTCTGTACCTTAACACTTAACGTCTGGGAAAAAGTTTTAGTGTGTGATATCGCCAACATCCCAGGAGAATTAAATGCTTGTTCATTTCGCCTACTTAAAATAAAGAATGTATCCAAATCCCTATTTTCCTGTATACTTTCAAAATACAAAGAAATAAAAGTAGGTTAAGGAATAACATTCTGGAGTCACCGAGCGTATTGTCACACTCTCTATCATACAAAAGTTAGTTGCGTATCCTTTACCGAACATTGCAGAACCAACCCAGCATTTTTTTTAGCTGTTGTGGTCTTTAGGTGCAAATGTATGTCCAGTAGTTTGCCATTGCTTTCTGGGCTGTCGGCTTCTCGATACCACTGTCGAATCCAACGCAAGGCACAAGGCCCGCAGCTGGGATCGAACCCGGCACCCCGGCATTTTGAAGCACGTTCGCCACGCCTAAGTCACAGACGAAGACCTTTCACATTAGGTATATATATATATTGGCAAAAAAAAAAGCTATTTTTTCACGCCCTAATGAGTATTGGGCATATAGGGCTAGACTCATATTTTAAAGACCAGTTGGCACTTGGTGGGTGATGTGGTCAACATCCCACCTGCCGCCTTTACTTCTAAGGAGAACTGTACCTGGTACCAATTTAAGGCTAACTTATCGTGGGAGCCAAGGGAACGTTTGAAAAACAATATAAAATCTGGCACCGTCAGGACCTGAGTCCACGACCTTCTTATCCACAGGTGAATGTCTAGCCTCTACACCACGGCAGCTTCTGGTATACAGATATATATAAACATATATATATATATATATATATATATATATATATATATATATATATATATATATATATATATCAGAGCCAGCGAGAGAGAGAGAGAGAGAGACAGAATATGTGTGTGAAATATTGTGAGAGAGAGAATGTGTGTGTGAAAGATTGTGTGAGAGAGATTGTGTGTGTGAAAGATTGTGTGAGAGAGAGAGAGAGAGAGAATGTGTGTGTGTGAAAGATTGTGAGAGAGAGAGAATGTTTCTGTGAAAGATTGTGAGACAGAGAATGTGTGTGTGTGTGAAAGATTGTGAGAGAGAGAATGTGTGTGTGAAAGATTGTGTGATAGAATGTGTGTGTGAAAGATTGTGAGAGAGAGAATGTGTGTGTGAAAGATTGTGAGAGAGAGAGAGAGACTACATTACTGACAGAGGCTCTTCTTATCATGTTTT